AGCGCCCGAAAACAGTACAGAGGAGTTGGAGCAGTTGGCAAATGCTATACAAATGTCATACGCTGAGCAGATGGAAACCTTTGCTCTCCTGCTTAGCGAGCAAAATCAGGCTGAGAGGGGAGGTCGCAGAAATATGCCCATCGTTTCGGGGGACAGTGTGCTTACCCAGGTTTACGAAGCCATACTCGCGGGCTGGAGACCGGAAGGTTCTCAGAGAATAAAACTCCCAGTTACCTCGAGAGGGGAGCTTCCAAAGCCGATGTCACTCCTCAGGCTTGGGGCGAAACCGCGTTCCAATCAACGGTCTTCCGATTTACTGCCACCATTCAATAAGCCATCCACAAAAACAGATCCATGGACGTATAGTGGAGCACTGTTTTATGCAGTTACAGTTATTACAACTATTGGTGAGTGGTTCATATTGAAAAAAACTCCTTCCTATATTATAGTTGTTGTAAGATAGAGCATAAAACTAATTGTTTTAATGCCACGAAAGGGAATAACTGAGTGGTTTTATTTAAAAATAATTATTTTGCCATTGTAATAGGACATATGTAAAGAATTTCCCCTAGGTGTTTCCCATGAATCGTGACGTTAAGAGAATCAATTTTCCATTGACAAATATTCACAAACAAATAGGCATACCTGGAATTCCTGTAACTTTAATCAACACTTACTACATGGGCTCAAATGACCAAATTTTCCCCCAGACAGAATGACTCCCAAAAGGGAAGTTGCAGCAAAAATACTGTACACTTTCGAGAGCGGGTCATCTTATTACATTGCCGTATGGCAACTCCACTTCTTCAACCCATTTATGAAATTTTTTGAAATGAAGTAGGTAATGATTCCTGAAATTATCTTGTACAGATCTCGAGCACGACTTATAGCAAGGGACCCGAAATTGCAAGGGACATTTCAGTCTGGCCTCTTAATCCTACTCCCTGCGTCCTCAAGTTTTCTTCTTAATACTTAGAAATGCATATGTACAAGCATACAAAATGTCCTTAAGCTCCGCTCAGTCTTAACACCTGAACACCTCAAACGCACGAAGTACACTGATTCGAGGTTACGATAAAGCAGTGAACGGCATTCCAGACGTCTTTTTTCGATGCATCGTGCATGAAAGAGCCATCCATTCTGCCCAGAACCCGAGCGGAAGAAGGAGATCCTTAACGAATTAAATGCTAAAACGGAGGCTCGACCGTTGATTGTTGCCCTCAATACGGCCCTGGGGTTGGACACCGACCGACCGAGGGGTGCAGATGTTAATTCTGAAAAAACCTACAACAGATGATGTGGTTAGACTGGGCGGAACAGGTGGCAGCCGCTGCTGCCCAAACCAGGATGAATTCGCCTTTGCTGCCGTCGGGTAAGTGGACCAGATTAAAGGCTACATATATCAACGGCATCTGTGTGAATGTCAAAGGGTCGCCTAGTCAGTTGCCGGATGGGTTTACTGGCAAACTATTAGGCTTTCAGTCGCTGATTGGCCGATGGTCATATGCAATGTCAGTTGACCGAGGGGATTCCGTCAAAAAGTAGCACGGTCAATTTAGCCACCGTAAAATCTTCGAGCAGTATTATTTGCGCAACGCCTTTGAGACACGGTTTCTAGGGCTCACAATCTTGCACAGCTTCACTGTAACGAGACCATTTGTCGGTAACACACTCCATGTTTAAGAGGAGCTTCTGAAAGTTTTAACGAAGCCGGCAGTATTGCCGAAAAACACAAAGGGGATTGGAATGGTCATTTGGGGCTTACTAACCGTCGTCAGTCAGTCATACCCTTCGTTAAGTGGTGCACACCCCGAGGTTTCAACTCGAGACCTTTTCGATCAAAGTCTAACG